TTGATTGTGGAAATATGATGAACAATGTTGGATCTAACTTTTATTAACAGGAAAAAGATAGTGCAATCACATATCAGTCAATCTCACCAGGTATTATATGCCATTTCACTTTTCAGTTGTAAAATGAATCATATTCATCAACTTGCTTTCGCTGTAGTGAGTGTGAGCCAATCTACAACTGTCAAGTGTCTCCTATTTTATGGCTATGGTTACTCATGATGGTAGTCACTGTTGAGAATGAAAAACAGTGATTTCTCATTTCTCCGTGTATTTGTAGAATTAAGGTGATCAAAATTATGAGAACCATGTTAGGTGAATTTTTTGAATTTGCGTGAATTTCTCAAGTAGTATAGTGGTGTGCTTTAGTAGAACTAGTAGAACGAAGACCTACCTAGTTGAATTTGACAAGACGATGGGATGTCAGATTATTACGCCATCCTACTGTCATTATTACTCTTAATACTCGATTCATCACAATAATGTCTGTCATATTAAATATTGAAAATCGAGTTAGCAATGCATGAATAACTTGATAGTTGTAGATAAAAATTCTTTTTCGTTATTGTGAAGTTTCCGTTTTTTCCGGAACAAACGTCATCTTGTTTATTTTCGATAGGAGAGCCTGTATTTTGAAATATTTTCGAATTCCTCAAATGAATAGTTTTTCCGTTTCGCAAATGCAAAATTCGCTTGTCAAACAAAGTCACTTTTGATCCGAGTGAAACATGCTATTTTTTCTGCAAACGAAAGAATTAACTAAAATAAATGTAAGTGAAGTAACCACCAATGTGACACATTTGACAGATTATTATTATAATATGAGTAAGTAATAGAAGCAAGACCTCAGACCTCAGACAACTTTTGTGAGTGTGGTGAGAATATTCTACCTGCATTTACTCAGGTTCATTGAATTTTCAAAGATTCCAATTTGAATACTACCACTGAGTGACCTATTTGGGAATACCCATGATAAGATATCAAGGGAATACTATTGATCTCATATCGATGAATTCATTTGGACCAGGTGCCAGCCCTAAAAATATACCGCGCCAGTGCCAGGTAGGAAGAAGTGAAGAATGTTAGGTTAGTGAGCATATTGTCACGACCACGGGGCCTTCGTCCACGGCAGCGTGATCTCAGGGGGTTATGCTTGGCAGCAAGAGGGTGTCCTAACTACCACACTATCGTAACTCGATTGTGGCAAGGAAAGAGTGCATATTTCGTTTAACATAAATTGACATTTATTAAATGATAAAAAAACAGTGAACAAGTGAGCAACAACAGAAAAGGTGAAGTGAGACAAAAAAAGTTAAATGAAGTAAATTGAATTAAAGTGGCCCTATGGCTACACCTTCTAGTGAAATCCTACATCTCTGGATCTAACTACCAATGTGGTTCGAGATAATTACAGGGGCTGTACCAGGTGATGAAACAGTTTTTTCAATTACAAAATGTACTTACATTGTCAATACAACACTTGCTGCTCCGGCGGAAGAGGAGATGCGTACCATGGCTAAGGGCTGGCGTTGACGACCGCTAACTAACTAGGGTGGTTACTCATGTTACTCAAAAAAACTACCGTACTCGTAATGGGCGTCGTACCGATTCTCTTACCGAGTATTATTGATACCGATTCCCCCAAAAATCCCTATTCCAATTGTTTTATAGCCGATACTTGCCGAGTTAGCAGAATCAGCAATAATCGTATCTATCGAGTTCGTTACCTCATAGGTGAACTTTCAAGTTCGATGAATTCTGCCGGAAAAGCTTACTTAGTTCCCGTCTGTGAAATTTGAGCCATGTTTCAATTACATATGTTATGTGAATGACTCTGAATATTATCTACTGAGTTCTTTTATTTTCTTCAATGGGTATTTCTTAATGAATTGAATGAATTGTTTCTCTGGTATACCAGGTGTGACAATATCAACGATAATAATAGCGATTATTTTTCTCTCTCCATATTCCACTGTGTTTCGCTCGGTAATCAAATGAGAGTGAACAATATCGTTGTGAGCGGCAAAAATGTTGCAGTGATTTTTCAAAAACAAGTTATCCAATCAATCAGATCCCGAGAATAACGAATGAACTGAATATTGGGCAAGAATGTAATTCTTGAAGGCTTCATTCCTGATCAGAACAAAAATACTCAACAATATGGTGTAAGTATTTAAATCTCCAGCATAGGTATGAGAAGCGAAATCTGATGCCGAAATCAGGAACAGATCAGGACGGAGTTCCAGCCTAAATAACCGACCTTAACAATGTTGTTTATTCTTGATGACGTAGTACATCCTTTCTAGTTCCTAGGACCTGAAGTCCAACTTAAGCTTCTAGGAACTATAAGTGTTACCTATGTTTGTGTCAGTGATAGAATTGTCAATTCCAGAGCTTATTTTGGAATTTAAATTGTCGACTTTTGTGTCGGTTGCACAAACAATTATGTTTCCTCAGTGTGCGAACCCATCTTTAGCCTTGTATTCCACCTGACGTTTTTCAATGTTATATCTTTATCTGTCTCAACCATCATTTCCACGCGAGATTTAATAGTCATTTTGAAGCTGAAACTTCAGATGAAGAGATATGGCGATCAGAATTGACTTCAGATGAACATTATATACTGTCAATCAACTATTATACGGGGTGACACAGGATATCTGGCCACACCTGTACCTTCTGCATTCATGAACGGATTTCCATGGAATTTGGTTCAGTCATATATATATATAAGCAACCATTACGGATTTGATGACATAACAACCAAATATGACGAACCTCCGGTTTTTCTGGTAAGGCCAGCATCTTTGTTTTTCAAATAGAACACCCTGTATATTCTCACATATTCTTATTTCATAGGTCGAAACAAATACGATATTCATGTCAAACGTAATTTTTTTGAACAGGGTTATCCATCAAGAAGGCCCACCCCTATATTTACCTTGTTTTTTTATCAAGAATAAAAAACGAAATGCAAAAGTTGCATGCAGCAATGACACCTTTTCACAGCTTTTATCAAAAGTTTCACAAGGTGACCCTGACAGTTTGACGAGCCACAACTTATTTTCTCAATATTGTTTTGGGATCTGTGATTTTTTGTGATCGCAAAAATAAATGTATACAGTATGATATATTTCATTTTTATTGTCACCACTTTTTTGACCGATGCTTGTGTGTTGGCTTCTACAGATTGTGACCTTCACTGTTTGAAAAAGATATCAAACAAACTCACACCTAATGCAATCCTGAGTAATTAACCAAAAGAATGAAGATATCTCAGGAGGTATTATAACTCTGATAATAATCATTCATTCTTTCTAGATGACTGCAAATATGATCGATAGTGGGCTGAATGTAATGTAAAACCTGAGTGAATAGAATAATATTAATATGCTCAATGTGTTGCTATTCAGAAAGAAAATGAACATGAACCAAATTGACGTTTCTGAATCGTCCGGTATTTAGTGAAAACTATTTGAGAATGAATTTATACAGGGTGGATCGAAAATGTACTAAATGATGTACCAAAAAAATATAAAATAAGGTTATAAAACTTTAAATGTTACAAGCTATCATGTCAGACATGAATGGGGATATTTCAGAGAGAATAATGTCAATTCTCAATTTCAGAGCATTTTCAGTTTTCATGCCCCCCTTTTGGATGTTTAACAAATATAATTCAATGTTCGAGGTGGCAAATAGCCAGGAAATTAGTCGGTTTCTGTTGCATATTCAGAATGATATTATGTGCATATACATATTTTTATCTGGAGAAGAATGCATATTTTCAACTTCAGAAGATTTTGTTTTCAAACTCTTATCGTGTGTGTTCAATAAATAGATAAAATTCAATGTTCGATCGTCATGCCATACAGCCAGGAAAGTAGTCGTTTGCTGTTGAATTAACCGAGCAAGAATTGATCTCATAGAGAATGCGAATTCTCAATGTATTTCTTTATATATATATATCCATTGTTTTATGTTCATAATTTCATCTGATACTATTCCTTTTCAATACTTTCACCGAATCAAGGGGTTCAAACTTGAACGATGAAAACTTGCTATTTTCATAGACCTTCAATCGCAGATTCGTGATTAGGTTTTCTCAATTCAGAATTTCTTTCTACGTCCTGTATAATGAATATCAATTTGTCATATATCCGAAAACAGGAGTTATTCATATTTTAGCAGGGTCAAAATTTTGGGTCGCGATTCAATTTCTTTCAAGGTTATAGACTGTAATCTGAACAGATGTATTGAATCGACTATCCGACAGCTATTTCAAATTTTGGAGTAGAATTTGGTTATTCCGTTCTCCTCGAGAACAGTGTACCTTAATGTATTTCAACAATTCGTGTTTTTTTTTTCACAACATTGCAGCCCCATCCATATTTTCGAATGAAATTTCGAAAAGTTTCATAGCAATCCGTTTTTCTGAAAAATCACCCATCAATAATACCCCTTGACGGTGCCACTGGGAGTCAGATCGACTGAATGATGCTAGCGATTCAATTTTATCAATCAAGCAATTTTTGTTGAGAAATTATCTAGCAATTCAATGAATTTTTTTTTATTTTCCACTTTGACACCCCATACCTCGCAAATCAGGCCATCTACGACCTATGTTTGTGAAAACTGTTTTCAGTTTATCTGGAAGGCCTATTACTTCTCGAAGTTTCTCCAAATTTCATGAAACACCCTGTATATTAACATAAACCAAAAGGCCATAACCCCCCTCCAATAAAAATCATTATCGATACCACTGGTGGTTTTCTGTCACTACTGTCACATATTTGAGGAATTAATTTTCTCATTTCTCAAAAATGGTATGATGAATCTGATTTTTCTCGTTAATGTATGTACGGAAAAGGAAATTAATGTTATCAGTTGTCATAACTGTAAAAAACACTGTGATCTCTTTTATTAGTGCATTCTCAAACCTGTAATCGAGATGGGGAATAGTGGAAGAAAATGCCAATGTTCATAACATGTATTTATTTGAGCTTTTATCGCGATCAAATACAACAAAATATCAAATCAAGTTAAATTTTCCAAAACATAAAAAGAGCTTCGCCATGAATATCAGCTAATTGCGTATACATTTTTTTAATTATTCGGTATAATATAATGATTATTGATAAATAGTCATCTGAGAACTTTCATGGAAGATGAAATGTTTACGACATACGTATACTTAGTGTTTTATTCTTTTGAAACTTATAGCATTCAAAACGAATGGATAGTCGATAGAGAAAATTCAATCGATGGTTCTTCACAACTACGTTTTTAGTACTTTCAGAAACTTACGGTTTTATTCGACCAACAACTATATTTTTTACATTTAAAATTCAGGACAGGATTCGTATTGAATTCCAAACCGAAACAGACACCAAAATTGTTTAGTACGTACATTTCATTTTTTTGACACATCAGAACTATTGAATAGCGATCTCAGCATCTGATTCGGTACTTAAATCCTAATAGTATACATACTTACAATACTGATTTATGTTTGTAATATTTACATTCTGTGACTTGAAATTCGTATAACAATTAAAATCACTCGACATTTTTTGTAATCATTGAATATATATGTACTGTATTGCCCTACTTCATAAATTATTGGTTGTATTACGATATGATAACATCACAAAATACCGCTCACAGCGGTCATATGCCTTCAAGACTATCTTCAACTTTACAGAATAGGAATGTACTCACTGAACGAACGCTATCTACACATATTTACTAGACAACTGTTTGGCCAACTCCGTGTACTTGAGAAACTTCGAATGGGGACTCTCCTCGAACCCCCCCGCGGCCGGCGGACTTTTAGCCCCCCCGGAACCGGACGCGCTTGGCATGCTCGGTGGTAGCACCGAAGTACTCTTCAAAGGCACCCCCGCACTGGAAGAACTAGCCTGCGGCGACTTGAGAGCCACGGGATCCGGAATCACCCCGTCCTTCACGAAATGCATCTTCGACAGGTGATGTCTATACGCGCCCTTGGAAATGAAGGGCGTATCGCAGAAAGCGCATTTCATGATCGAGTCCGAAGTCATCACGGCATCGTTGCAAGCCCAGCTGAAGGCCAAGATGGCCCCAGGGGTGGAACTGCCGCTGGTCGTCGTGGTGGTGCTAGAGCTGACGCTAGGGTTGACCACCGTGGCCGAAGAAACACCCCTGTTGTTGGGATGCGTTTCAGTCTTATCACATAGCTTCTGTAAGGCCGCTAACGGGTGGCTAGAGCCCCGTTTGCTACCTGATTGGTTCGCCTCGCTCGTCGCGTTCGATCCCGACAGGTTGTCGAACATCGAGCTCAGGGCCCCTAGGCTGCCGCCCCCCGTTGGTTTTTTATCGCTGTTAGTGCTTCTGGGGGTGGCAGATCGTTCGCTGCTCGTCGGACTGCTCATAGAGTTTCTTCCAGGGCTGTGAGCGTCCGTTCGCTGCGGACTAGCGTCCTCTTTGGAAATGTCCCCGTTGCTATGGAAGCTGCGTCGCTCTTCCTCTTCTTGCTCGTCCATCTCCCGCTTCACTTTAACCTCCGTCTGATCCCTCAACACTTTCTCCTCATCATCCATTTCTTTCTTGACCACCAACTGCTCGCTATCGCCTTCACTGGTACTATTCAGTTTCTCCATCAACGGTGACTTTTCTCTTTTGATGTCGGGAGTGGACCTTGGAGTATTCGTTATCGGTATACCCGGTGGGTCCATTTTCCGCTCCGGGGTAAGAGATTCGACCCTGCTACTACCCCTCTCTGACATGGAGCTAGATTCGCTCCCGCTACGTTCCCTGCGCGCGTAATGGTGGCTCTGCTGCTGGTGGTGATAGCTTCGTAGAAGGTTCATGGTTTGGGCGTCGACTAAGGGTTTGGTATAGTCGACGCTCTCGTCGATACCCAGGCGTTTCAGTATGCTGCTACCCATAGGGGTTTGAGCGGGACCGTGACCAGGAAAGTTCGGGTTTTGCCGCGACCTCGAGTCGAAGCTTTTCTCGATCAGTTTCTCTATGGCGTTGAGTACGGACGGGGAAGAACCGTTGTTGTTATCGCTTGCGGCAGGTGATTCTTTCGAATTGACTTCGTTCACCGAGGGTGACTGTTGCGGGGACGAAGATTTCTCCGTGTTGGGTGTTTTGATCTTTTCCCTGTTCGGGCTCTCCGGAGGTAGAATGTTGCTGGACATCAGCGCGCTTTTCAGGAAGTTCCTTTGATTGGTCGTCATGCCTCCAACGCACTGCCTTATGTGGTCTACGAATTGAGACGTTTCGATCTTGTTGCCGCACTTCTCACACGTTATCCTACCGGCTCCAGCTGCTTCCCGCATTTTCTCCAGTATGCCACTATCACCGTTCTTGAAATCATGCTGCGCCCTTTCCAGCTCGAGCAACTTCCTAACCGGCAAGCTCTTTTTTCGCTTCTCCCTCGTTTGTCGCCTTCTTCCGCCGCTCTCCGTGATCGATCTCATGATGTGCTCTTTGTAATGCGAGTTTTTCACCATATGATTGCTCAGTTCCTTCAGCGAGCTAAACGCCTGATCACAAACCTTGCAGGTGAGCACGGCGCTCACGTGGCTACTGGCGCCGCCTGGCGGAGGCCCCGAACCCGAATGTCCACCTCCACCGCCGCCACCTTTCGGATCATCCGTGGATCTCCAAGAGATTATCTGCTCTTGCGAGATGATGTTGGTGTAGTGTTGCGTCTGTTGCATGTGGCTGGTCATCTCGGCAAGAGATCTGAAACTCTGGCCACACCACATGCACTTGAGAATCTGCCTGGTTTGCTCGGCTCCCTTGCCTAACCAGACATCTTGCCCGCGAACAAGCTTTCTAGGCAGCGGCATGGTTTCCTTGATCAGCATGTTGAGATCGTTTTGATTGGGCTTGTTGGAACTCGAAGAGGAGTTGCTGGTGTTGGTGTTAGAAGGCGAAGTGATTTGCGGTTGCGGTATCAGATTGTTCGACTGCATTGGAGGGACTGGTACGTTGACGCCGCAGTGTTTGGCTTCTTTCATGTGGGTGGTCATGGCTGCTAGACTGGGGAAGCTCTGCTTGCACCAAACGCATTTGAGAACGTCTTTAGCTTGCTCAGCGCCCTTGTTCAACCAGTGAGATTGCCAAGCGCTGTGTCGGTTGGTGGCCGAGTTACTTGGGGCTGAACCTCCCATGCTCCGGAAAAGTTCGTCACCGCCTAGTTTGCTCAGCTCACTCATCTTCTCTAGAGCTTTAGTAGCGTCATTTGGTACTGGGGGCCCTTGTTTCATCTTTCCGTTCCAGAGTTCTGCAGCGTTGGGTTTCGGGGAAGATAGACCAGCTGCGGCGACTGCGGCTGCGAAATAGGGTAAGTGTGAAGCTCCTATGGGTGACGGCCAATGAGGTATCGCAGATTTGTAGTCGGTGCGTGGTTTCCGTTGTTGCGAGTACGATAGGGGTTCCTCGTTGGTGCGTTTTCGGCTAGTAACCGAGAGGTCCAAAGGGGAGCTTCCGCCTACTTCGCTGTGAGGCTTGCTGAACGTGGCTCCGTCAGAGTCGCTGTCGCTGTTCTGCTGCGTGCGCTTGCTGAAATCCAGTATGCCCTCGCCTGTAGGCGATTGCAGCGACTGCTCCACAGGCGAGTGATTATAACCACCTGTAGGTGATGTTGAGGAGATCATAGAAGAGGTACCATAAGCTGGCGGCAGGGGTGACGTCATCATGAGTCGGTGCGACTGCTGGGCTACAGCGGCGGCGGCGTTGAGGTAGGCGGCCATTGCTGCGGATTGGGGCGGCAGGAAGGCTGCTGCGGGTAGAGAGGGGGGCAGAGCCACGCCGACTGGGCTCAGGGACGTGCCCAAAGGAATGCCTCGGAGGAGGGCAGCTCGTTCGGACATCATCGACTCGCCCGATGGGGATTGAGGAGGGGGCGAGTCGGTCGAGTCGCGGGAGTTGCACCTGGATCGGAGGTCCCTGGAATGAAAAAGCGAATGTTGAATTCATTTGAGTAATGGGCAGGAGAAACTTTTCCGTCAATATTTTCATTATTATTCTCATCGGGGGTCATTTCAGTTCCCACTTCCCGGACGCTTATTATTTGAGGAAGTTGCATTTTTCCGGCCTAGTCCGAGAAGTCAGTACTTCAGATGTTCGAGATGTATGCGTTTTTTGCCTGAAGTTCAGAAAACATAGAGGAACTGAAATTCGAGATCAGACAAATTATTTCCTGGTTGAAAAATTATTTCATCAAATATACATGTTGACTAAATGTATAAAGCTGAAAGTCATTTCCACAACAAAACTGATCGATAACGAGAAAAAAACAACTACTTATATTGTATATATGCCACGCAGAACATTGAATTATATCCTCCCGAAATATATACAAGGATTCGTTTAACGAATAAAATCGCAAGTGTTTCCTTCCTATATGCTGGATTGTGCTTAAATTATTTAGGAACGCCTGACTACCTACAGACCGATTCCAAGCTTTTGGTTCTCATCAGTGTAGGGATGTCCCCAGATGACTTCATGGCCGCCGTCTGCCCCAACGTAGACATATTCCTTAATACCCACGAGGCGTTCGCCATGCGAAATGGACACTCTCATTTCATCTGAAATAGGAATTTGTTTTGGAATGATTCTTTCCTTCTACTCAGGTGGCGTTCGTGTCCATCCCGCAGATGCCGAACGCCTCGTGGGTATTAAATATTGTCAGGCGTTTCTGAAGAATTTAAGATTCAGCATTTTGAAAGGAAACACTTGCGATCTTATTTGCCTATACGAATCGTTGCATAGATTTCGGGAGGATGTCAATCAATGTTTTGCGTGGCATCCCAGATAGCACAAATTGTTCTGAGAATATTCAGCAAACCTTCCAAGCAAATATCCCATAGATATTGCCTCATTCAAGGATATTGTCGACATCCTGAATAGTTTATCCTGAAAATATATTTCAATATCAATCTATGTATAATTAGTTTAGCTATCCGTATATAACACGAGGGGTAAACTGCGGTCCAAATTGTGTACACCAAACTTCAATTTCACAAGGAATTTCAAGTTGTTTGTACACCAGAATTATACCGCACTTCACACAAGGAATTCCAAGAAACTCCAAGGAATTCCAGGGAAATCCAAGGAAATCCAAGGAATTTCGAGGAATTCCAAGGAAATACAAGGAACTCCAAGGAAATCTAAGGAAATCCAAGGAATTCCCAGGAAATCCAAGGAATTTGAAGGAAATCCAAGGAATTTCTGTTGTTTGCACAAAAGAATTATACCGCATTTCACCCAAAGAATTCCAAGGAAATCCTAAGAATTCCAAGGAAATCCAAGGAATTCCAAAGAATTCTAGGGAAATCCAGAGAATTCCAGTTGTTTATAGCCCAGGGATAAAACGCATGTCACCCAAGGAATTCCAGGCGATTGCAAGGAAATGAGAGGAAATCCAATAAAATCGGAGGAATTCCAAGGAAATCCAAGGGAGAGTTGTTTGTACACCAGAATCCGACCGCGATTTACCCCTCGGTATAACATATTAAGAAAAATATTCGGTCAATATTATTCATGAAATATTCATTCAGGATGAATATTTTGAATGACCACATGCAGTTGACAAGAATATTTTCAAATTAATTCACATTCTCAATAGTAGAACGTCAACACCAGTCATGTTCAGGTCGTTCAGATCTTCCAGACTTTGTTGCGTAGATACGTTCTGAACTTCTGAATCTCGACTTTAAACAATAAGGAGTGTTGTGCGTATCAGCGGCGTAAAGGTATGTATGGTTTTCATTTCATTTTCATTCGCTTCAAAGTGCTTGGAGTGTGAAAAGCAAATCTGAAGTCGAAAACATAGATACCTAAAAAAAAAATTTTGTTCTATAATTTGTTCTATCCGTCATTCGGTCTGTCTACATGAATTGACTCACATGCTAAGCTTCAGTAGCTATAGTTGTTGGAAGTGTGTGTGTTTATGGAGTATACAGATGTAATTGAATATTAATTACAAATGCTATGCAGTGAAAAGAAGACGAAAAAGTGCTATCAGCTAGGAATCGCCGAACTGGAGGAATGGAGGTATCAAGCAGCGTTTTTGGTGGTGCAGCTGCTGATACGATTTTTTGTAATAGAGTTTTTGAAATGCCTTTTGTTTTAATGTTATCCCATTATCCCCTATAGGTTAACCACAGCATGTTATGTGAGTTTGACCTGGAATTATTCTGTTAACATTTTCACTCAATACTATTTTTATCATATTCATTCATACTAGATTTGTTCCAGGAATATAGTCGAGGAGTATATTTTGGTTGATTTTTTGATAGATTAACCTATAGATATTTAGTGGATATTATTCTTGTCGTTATTCCGGAAATATTATTGAGACTCTTGAAGAGTTTCTCCTTTCTATAAACTGAGAACTCATAGAATAATTGCATATTCTCGAGGAAATATTCTGAAGATAACTCACAAATATTTATGTGCTATATGGGATACAGCCAGGAAAGTAGTTGTTTTTCTCTCGTTATCTACCAGTTTCGTTCATTTATGAACTTTTGTGAAAATTACTTTGAGCTTTGTACAATTATTCAACATTTCATTCTACTTTCAGCATTTTGGCTTTTTCGTAGTTGAAATATACGAGTATCGAATTATCTAACCAAAAAATCCTCGTAATATGAAAATACTATACCGGGTGGCTACGGAAGTATTGCCTACGGAATATCTCAGTTATTGTATGAAGTAGGTTTGTGAAATTTGGAGCGTCGATATAATGACATAAGAGCTAGAATTTGAGCATATTGACATGTCGAAGTTAACTTCCGGTCTGACCGGAAGTAACATCAACTTTCTTATTTTAAATGGAAATCCTATTTTTTTTCTTTTCGCTTTATTCAGCATTCAATTCCCTTTCTATTGACATATCACAAGTTGGTATCTAACCAGAAACTAGATCAGAAAAAAATGATCATTGAAATTCACCGAGTAGGCCGTGGAAGCAAAATGAAAGCCAAGAATTGAAAAGTTGGCTATGGAAACCATATACGTCACTTGATAACAGTTGCTAGTACTGTGATATTTAATTTTCAGTCGTCGGCATACGGCCGCCAAAAAAAATATTGGAAAAATTGGGAAAAAAACAATACTCTGTAGGTCCATAACTTAAATAGGAACATACAACTTTTTCTTGCCTGTACTATTCAGCATAACCATTCCTTTCTAATGACATAATAGAGTCATTTTTTCAAATGAAATACCAAAAAATCCAATTATTATTCTTCAAATAACAAAAAAACAGATTTATCGAAAAAGAAAATTCAAATTGATAGGATTAAAGATAAAATAAATTGTGATATGTCATTAGAAAGGGGATTGAATGCTGAATAAAGCAAAAAGAAAAAAAACAGGGTTTCCATTTAAAATAAGAAAGTTGATGTTACTTCCGGTCAGACCGGAAGTTAACTTCGACATGTCAATATGCTCAAATTCTAGCTCTCATGTCATTATATCGATGCTCCAAATTTCACAAACCTACTTCATACAATAACTGAGATATTCCGTAGGCAATACTTCCGTAGCCACCCGGTATAGAATGGAAAAAATCGGGAAAAACAGAGCTATAGAAGAGCATCTGGTGACAGAATGTGTCAGTTCGTGGGAAATTGACTCATAAGCTTTGACTTAGGTATAGGGAAGTTCTAGGATGTTAGGGTAGTTCAAGGAAGTCCGGAAAACTTCATTTGCGAAGTTAGGAAAAGTCTGGGAAGTTCGAAGGAGTCCAGAAGAAGGAAGAAAGAGGAAGTGTAAAAATGTTGATGAAGTTCGAGGGAGATCGGGAAGTTTCTCCCCATAGGCAATTTGGTGTATACACGGTTTTGCGCCGTGATCAGCCTCTCCCTTCAATCATTCCTGATTCCAGCCCATCCATACCCCAAACACCCACCTTCGAACGTCGAGGTCCTCGTGGAAGGACCGGGGGCTCGTGGGGGTCAGCAACCCTCCTGGGGGCGGCGAGCAGCCCTCGTCGTCGTGGCCGCCGGCGGACACGGGGCTCATCGACTCGAGGTCGTCCTCACCCTCTGCTTTGTCCTCCTCGCCCTCCTCGGGGGAGCCTTCCTCGCCTCCTTCCCCTGCAACAAACCAAAGAGGAGGGTTAGTTGAGTCACTTATGCACAGAAAAATAAAATGTTTGAAACTACAAAATTTCTGTAAATTCAACAAAATCATTAGTGTCACATATCCACGACCAAAATATTTTGTCTCGCAACAAATGGTTTTTGTCAGTTTTCAATTCAAAATTAATTTGATGTAACTCATTAATGATTCAAATTAACCGCAGGAATTGGTTGAATGAACAAAGACTTTTTTGTTTCTATAATACAATATCTGCTCTTATGAACTATTATGTTGATTGAAATGATAAAAGTGACAAAATTTCCAGTTTTTCAGAGAGTGAATATATTAAAATAACAATATATATTCTTCGATCAACAAAATTGTATCAACAATTGACAAAATATTTTGCTGAATAATATTAGAAAAAATAAAATGACTGAATTTCAAAACTAAGAGAAATTAGTGATCAACTTCCTCAGTTGATTCAAGACTATTAGCTTGTATAAGCGTCATGAGAAATTCTAGGACAGCCTAATATAATTATATAAACGGATGTTTTAGGTAGGTATAATTATGTACAACCCAATCGAGGCGAGCGTAGGAAGGTTGGAAGTAATGCCACCTGGTGGCAAAAATTCAACTAGATAATCATTCAACATAATATTTGTTTGATATAATGTACTTGTGGGGTCTGTTCAATAGACCAATTTGTTTGAAATAACATCATATTTCTTGATAGTGATGTGTTGAATCAAATATAATGTTGTCATAATCAATTCAATCTTGTCAAATAGAAAAAAAACCTTTAATTGGTTGAGAATGGAATGGATTGATTGTTGACTCAAGAAAATATTATGTTGTATTTAGTTAAATCTTTGTCAAAATTAATTCAATTTTGCCGAATATGTCGACAGAATGCATATGATTGATTGAACAATGAGATAATAGTTGGATCAACAAAGTTTGTTCTATGCCAACTATAAATGTTGTTGAATGTAATGAAACTTTTGTTCAATTAAGAAAATACTTCAATAAAATTGTTTTGTCTCTTTGAATAGGTTGCTTATTTGGAATGAACATATATTTTGTTGATTTCGCAAAATTGTGTTTGATTCAACAAAAAAAAAGCCAATATTATTTTGTTGATGCAACAACTTTTTTTTTTCCGTGTGATGATGAACAATGCAAATTGATTGGCCTAATAGAGAGCTCAATTCTTCGAAAATTGTTCTGATGTACGCTCACTGGCAGAAAAAAACGGCCATCAAAAAATTTTGCCAAATCGTTTGCCCTGTAACTATTCAAATGCTTGTCCAATTTTGGTGAAATTTCGACCAAATCGAATATTCATGTTCAGGAATGTTAGCCTGAATATTAGGTCTTGAGAGGAGCTAACGGTTTGATCATTATACAGGGAAAAACAAAAGTTACTTTTCCACCCTCAACCTCCTATAACGCCCTGTGGAAAAGGTGAGTAGATATGAACTTAGCTTCATTATGTTTTGGATTGAAGTGTGATCCCTTCTTAACACAATGGTTCTTGATTCACATCGATAGCCACTCTTTGAGAGAAGTGTTATATATGAAAGTATGGATTTTCTTTAATAATTCCTCAACCCTCCGCTTCATCTTGTTTTGAATTGAATTGTGATCCTTTTTCGTCCCTTCTTAACACAATGGTTCTAGATTCACGTCAATATTTTCTTTTTAAATGAATGATACAAGTGTTTCAAGAAAGTATAGATTTTTGAAATTTCTAATAACCATTAATCATAATTCGGAACCTATGAAGCATCTTAGGGATGAACTCCAGAGGCTCATTCGCCTTCATCAGGCCTCGTCAGAAACACTTCAAGAACTTGATTCGCCCTTCAAGAGGAATTTTTAGCAAATTCTTCAAGACCACTTGAGAAATTTGATCGACCTATCCTACGACGGTTGAATATTGTGAATAAAAGAAATGAGTGACATTAGTTCTTCAAGTTGTTCATGGATAAGTTTATGTAGGTTCTGATTATTGTTAATGAAAATTGAAAATGCCATACTTTCTTAAAACACTCGTATCTTTCCTTAAAAATAAGATATTTACGTGAAACAAAGACTATTGTATTAGGAAGGGATCATATCTACGATTCAATGCATAATGAAGCCAAGTTCAATCACTCAATTCCACCACAGGGTGTTAAGAAGTAAATGGTGAAATAGTAACTTTGGTTTTTCTCGGTATAATGATCAAATCATCAGCTTTTTTCGGAAACTAATATTCAGGCCAACATTGCAGTACAAGAATCTACGGTTTGATCCTGATTTCACAAAAAAAGTTACAGGGTGAACAATCTGGGCAAATTTTTTCATCACATAATCTGGCCAATCACAAGCCACAACTTGTGTCATCGTATGTAATACAACACGGGTATTGATGATTATGGACATACAAAGTCCTTCGATTTTGAGAAACAAATTATGTTGCCTAATGTCGCGCCTAAAGCAACATTATTTGTTTCGAAAACGAGAAGGAATTTTCGATAATCATCGATAAACCGAGTTGTATTTGTTGAGATTATTTCACTCAATATATCATGAATTGAACAATAATTCAATGTTACGATTTTATTTGCATTCTGTGCGTTATGCAACTTAGGATACACGAGTGATCCTATAGGCATCAAATATTGACGCTCGTCTCGCACGACTCGCTCGCAATATTTGATGCGTCTTGTCTAGACCTAGACGCTAGTATCAAAACTCGAGAGGTTAGGTTGATGGAAAATATTTCTTTAATGACGATCATACAAAGTTGGTCTAGAATTCTTCGATACAAATTAAAATTGAGTGCCTATCACGATTTTGTCTAAAGTTTAGTGTTAAGTGCCATTTATCCCTGAATATAGAAATATTATGATATCCATATGTCATGTCCACGACCACCTGCTGCATGTGAGTAATTTTGTTTCATATTCGATCCAACTACTAATGAGGAAGCTAAATACGAAATCAAAAACGTATATTTTGAAATGAGTGAAATAATCGCGAAAAAATTAGCTGTCTTTCAATTATGATTGGTCTATCAGCGTTGGTGTTTGTAACGATGAATATATAGCGAAGCAAAGTCTGTCAGTTCGGCATGAAATAATTAAAGCTTTCGTGGTCATAATGAATTGCTCATCTTATAATAAATGCTTCAATGTTCTGAAAATCTTCTTATCATTGTATCTTCCATTGTTAACTCAATTGTGTTGCCGTTGCCTGACCGACTCGTGGTGTTGCTTGGCAACACACTTTCGTGAACAAGAAAGCGACAGAATCATCTAAAATATTCAGTACATCACGTGATGATACTTATGACAATATAATAGATGAGAAGTTAATCATCCTCATTATATCCTTTGTTGAAAATGTAAAGCAAATTGAATAAATATGAATAAAAAGTGTTGACGTGGTTAGGAATTAGCGAGGGAATTAGTTTCTGATGAAACTAATGAAACAGTTCGAATGATGAATTTTCTAGGGCTAGATTAAGACTACCAGTGACTGTTTGGTTCCTGTGAAGGGTCGAACAGTTATCAGTCAACAATAACTCTCAGGCAATCAGTATTTCAAACTGAACCCAGGGTTCGTAACTAAATATTACATTCTCTTTCCATGGTCCCTGAACTCCCTGATCCAGGTTGCTACCTAGGCCTCCTCACAAACTCAATTTGACAAATCAGTAGGTGAAGTAAATCAGCATTATGAAAAATATGGCGCTTGAGTATTTCGAGTGGACAGGTCACAGAAGTCTTTGTACAAAAATTATCGAGACCCTCGAAATTAATACCTTTATAACAAAATGTAGGTTAGATTTGTTCTTTTTGAGGTAATAGCGAATTCATCGATATTATGTCGGTATGTACCAATTAATATAGTTATTTGAACAAGGTAGTAAAGAAAAATATTCTTAAATACCAAGGTGTTCATTAACTTTTTCCTACCAATTCGTTTTGAAAGTTGTTTTTTTTGTGCGATTCTACTTTTCCGCACTATTTAAGTATTGTTAAGAAAGGGGATATTTAGAACTTATTATATGATCTATGTTACTATTCTGTCTTTTCATTCCTGAAGCGACTTTCGATGTACATTCTGCTCAAATAAAAAGTCATTCACATTATATCAGAATTTGAAAATATTGAATTTTCAACTCCATGATTGATGTATACTGAGACACCCGGTATAGTCGTTATTTTATCAAGTTGAAAAAAAAAAGTGAACGAGAACTGACTGTGAGAAATGCATTTTAATGAAATCCTAACATTAATACGAGATTTATTTATTGCTGCAGCAGCCTTAAATCATTCACAGAGTGACATCTGCTGTTCGCCTTGAACTATCACGTTCCTCATCGTCCATATACCAGGTGTTTCCAAGTTATAATTGATAGCTTTCATGCGATTGTGTTTCATTGCTATCGAAATGATGGAAAAATCCGGGCTTATTAATAATGCTGTTGCTGTCGATTATTAATTCTAGATGTGGGATACAGGGGCGTATCCGCATAGGGGCTGTATTACCAAAAATTCAATGAAAGAAATTGTTTAAATCTTATTGATACCTAATAAGTATCAATGATGATATGAATATACTCATCATAGTAATATAAGAAAATATGACTGAGGATTTGAAAATGTTTCAATTATTTTTCCGGAAGCTTTCTCAACAAGTAAGTAATAGGACGGTGTTCAAAATTTACTTGAAAAAATCTGTACATTTGTATGATATCTATAGAGTTGTAGATGGTAGAATGTAGGTAAGTGGTATAAGTTGGGAGTCATCTCGATCACTATGTGACCTAGAAGTTCTATTGTGATTACACTCATCTAGTTTTAGCCTACTAACCCTAGGCTTTTGATAAAGCGTAGAATTTTTCTGACGGTTGAATTTTCCACCTCAGATAGACCTGTTCAAGGGGATTCAGCCTTTGGTGGACTAATACTTTACATACCTATGAGCAAAGTATGTGTCACGCGGTTTCGGTCGC